AAGACACAAATTAAATTAAATAGAGATAAACTTAAAAATAACGGCTGATGCGAGCGATTGTTTTGTGTATGTGTGTGTGTGTCGTGTGTTCGACCGCGGTGATACTCTGGGGTCGTCGACCGGCCGCTATTTTACGGCGGCAACAACATTTGTTAATTAAAAATGCCAACGATAAAACTCAAAAAAAGTTAAATTTTTATTTAGCAAAAAATACCGGTAAGTAATATCAGCTTTACTAATATATGGTTAATGGTCGTATAATTAAATTTTAAATTAGGAGCATTAAGCCTATAGGAACTATATTCTTCGTAAATGTGTACATTTTTTGTTTCATTTTGTAGTTATACAAATTACATTGTTATTTGTTTTACAATATTTTTGTAGGTTCTAAATATATTTAACATAAACCTAATAGTAGGCAGGTATATATAATACCAGTACCAAATTTATTTACAATATTGTTACCTATTTTACTTAATACAATAAAAGATATTATTAAATAATCAATATTATTCAATCATTTTGAAACATCTTATGCATATTTTTATTCTCTGGTAAAAACTAAGAAAAAAAAAGCACAGGACACAGGAGTTGGGTGGGATACACGAGATGAATTGATAGATTAGGCATTATAGGATAGATTTTGGAATTATTTTATATTATAAAAAAAAAAAAACGATTCTGAACAAAGTCGAAGATGTCAGCCTTAAATTGTAATATATTTTATTTTAATATCCTTGTTAAAGTAATTGTAATGATATAATAATATTCAAAATTCAAATGAAGTATATACCTATGTAGTAAAATGTATAGTTTCAGACGCTCGTTAAAATTTTTTAATTGAACCGATCGTGATATTTTTTATAATTATTGTAAGCAAAAATTATGAACAATCTTGTACTAAATTTTCATTTCTTAACTTTAAATACAAAGATTTTTATACATTTTCAACTACAAAATAATTTTCAAATATTCGTGATTTCAACAAATTTTGTCGATTTTTGAACTTCAACTGCTTATAAAAAAATTGTGCCTATGCATTTGAATAATTTTTGAATCACTCTTAGATAAACTTATGCCAGACCTTCTATTACATTTTCAAGTGTTTCGGCTGAGTCAAATAAATGTAACCAACTTTTATAAAAAAAATCTAAGAAAAATCGAATATTTCAAAAGCCTATAAATAGCTTAAAAATTAACGATATGTTTTGAAAATAAAATCTTGCGAAGAAAATGCTAATCTAAACATTCGACGAAAGTTTAAAGTTTCTACGACTTTTACTTTTTGAATAGTAAAAAATATCAAAAATCAATGATGCCTAAATTGTTATTTTGCACGATTATGTGGAAAAATTATAACTTCAAACACTCATAAAAATGTTTGGTATTATTCCAGTGGATATTTTTTTACATATAATTGAAGGAAAACGTATGGAAAACTTTGTACCAAATTTACATTTCTTAGTTTTGAATACTTAAAATTTTATGAATTTTCAACTGCAAAATAACTTCAAATTTTCGCGATTTATTACTCATTTCATAAAAATATGAACTTTCTATGCTTATAAAAAAAAATGTGAGTAACGATTTTTGATTTTTTTTAATAGCGATTAGTAAAACTTATGAGGAACCTTGTATTACATTTTCAAGAGTTTTTGGCCAGCCAAATTTTTTTTATTCACATTTTAGAAAAAAATAACTTCAAATTTTCGAGTTTTTTACATATTTCCTAAAAATTTGAACTTGAGATGCTTATTAAAAAAAAAATTGTACATTACGCTTTGGATTTTTTTTTTTATACCGATAAGTATTACTCATGAGGAACTCGAAAACATACCATGAAGTTTAACATTGATGAACTATTTCAACTAGTTATGGTGTATACAGACACAAAAACAAAAAAAAAAAACACACATCATAGTAAAATCAATACATTCTTCACTTCGTTCAGAATCTAAAAGCTACCTATTATAGTTTAGGTACATTTGTTTTTGTTTTTAATTGTTAATTGGTTTTAAAGGGTGTAAATGTTTGTGGTAAATGATTTTTTTTGTACATCTGAGGTTTATTTTTTAGTTATGCATAATATGTTAGCTGGTGATGATGATAATATAAGTCATAAGACAAAAGCATGGTTGTTTTAATTTTAGTTAGGAATAATTAGGGTACCTAGGTGTAATTATTTACTGTAGTATTTTCAAACATTAATGATAATTTAATTGTCCAACTATTAGATGTCCATGGTACAAATAAACAGTGTGAAGTAGAAAGTTTACCCCTAGAAGAACAACACAGCGAAGATGTAATTGATTTGATAAGCTGCAATACCAGTAACGAGACGCAACAACCCAACGAATATGGTTTGAATTTGTTTACAAGACCTTCCACAGCCAATTTTGCAAAGTACTGGTTATTTCATCCCAATCAACCAAAAATTGGTGTACCATTTGCATATAAAAAAACTTATTTTCGGATTGATGGAGGAAATCGTAAATGGGTGTCATATAGATCCATTGATAAATCTCTATTTTGTTGTATTTGCCTTTGTTATGGTGACGGATCTGGACCATTCTCTAAAGGATTTATTGACTGGAAGCATGTGTATACTCGAATAAATGAACATGAAAATTCCAAAACACATAGGTTAAATGTAGATGCTCATGTTATGAAAAAATAATTTTCATCATTTGATTCACTATTAACTTATGGTAATAGTTCAATAAGGAAGGAAGAAATGGACAACAGAAGGCAAATTTTATTTCGTATAATTGATATTATTAAATTAATCGGTAAACGTGGACTCAGTTATCGAGGTAAAACTAATAAAGCCATTTATACTCTTGATAATCCATCTTTAGACCATGGTAATTTCTTGGAAATGATTTTACTAGTGGGCAAGTATGATCCAATACTCAAAGCTCATTTAGATAACGCAATTAAAAATAGTACAAAAAGTCATGATTCTGGTTCCAAACAAGGAGGTGGGCATATAAGTTTTTTATCTAAAACCACAGTCAATTACATTATTGAAATAATAAGTGATATTATAAAGTCATCAATTTCTGAAGAGATCATTAAAGCTGGAATGTTCTCGGTACAACTTGATACTACTCAAGATGTCTCTGTCATTGACCAATGCTCAGTTATTATAAGATATGTAAACGGTACTTCTGTAAAAGAGCGATTAGTTGGCATGATAAAATGCAAGTCAAGCAAAGGGATAGCCTTTGTTGATTTAGTCTTAAAAGTTTTTCAAAACCTGAACATAAAAGCAAATAACTGTGTAGGCAATGCAACTGATGGAGCTGCAAATATGCAGGGCCAATATAATGGGTTTTCTGCAAAACTAAGTGATATAGCAGCTAAACAAATACATGTATGGTGCTATGCGCATGTATTGAATTTGGTAATAGGTGATATTACTCTTAAAGTATTACAATCTATTACTTTATTTGGAATTTTAAATGGGTGTGCAGTATTCATACGTGAATCACACACCCGTATGGATGTTTGGACAACTATGAATTCAAGAAAAAGAGTTTGTACTATTGGTGAAACTAGATGGTGGTCAAAAGATGCTTCTTTAACCAAAATCTTTGGTAATTTTAATAATCCTGAGTCTGGACTTTTTGTGGACCTTATATTAACATTAAGTGAAATTGAAACAAATTCAAGTATAAAATCTGAAGCTCGTTTTAAAGCAAGTGGATTAAAGGCAGATTTATGTAAATACAAAATAATTTTAACTGCACAAATGTACCTTAGAATATTTGAAAAAACTACACTGCTTTCTAAATATCTTCAAGGCAAAGGAATCAATATAATGACAGCGTATCAAATGGTAACACAAACTTTACAGGATTTAAGAAAGTGTACTCGTGAGTTTTCTAGGACTAAAGATGCAGCTGATAAGTTTGTACAACATACCAATAAAATGTTTCAAAAAACGAAAAACAATGTAATAGAAATCGCAAATAGTCTACCACAATCTCGTAAAAAAAAAAAAAACTAAGCAATTTCATGTTTATGAGGCAGATGATGATTCTATAACAGACCCATTGCATTCATATGAAGTTAATGTTTACAATCAAGTACTGGACACTGTTATTGAGAGCATTTCTTCAAGATTTGAAAAACATGGACAGTTATGTGCAGATTTTGCATGTCTTGACCCTAATAATTTCAAACCAGATGTAACACTTCCAAAAAATGTTCTTATTGGTGTGTTTGACAAGATTTGCAATTATTGTCCAGGAATTATGTACGAAGACTTTCGAAATGAATATATAGACTTTATATCAAAATGGAAAGAAATAAAAAAAAATATTGACTGTGTATATACTGAACTACAAGACTATGATGAAAATATTGATGGTAATAACAAAAATATCTACTATTTATAAATGTATTAATTTACCTACCTATTTAATATTGATGATATCATTTTAATTTTAATTTTGTTTTTTTAGAATGTTCAAATTATGTTGAAATTTTAGTATCGTGTAGTCATAATCCAAACACGAATGCAAAATATTGTGTAGTTTGTTGCTTTGATGTGCTTGTGAAGTACAACTTATACACAAATGCATATCCCAGTCTGTTGCGTATAAACTAATGCTGGCATTATCCGTGACACAAGTAGGATGTGAAAGGAGTTTTTCTAAATTGAAATACATAAAAAATTACTTGAGAAATACATCGGGCCAAGACATTATAGAAAGTTTCATGCTAATGAATGTTGAAAAAGATTTACTTAGTACAATTGATTCAAATGATGTGATCAATAAATTAGCTGCTAGGAATAGTACATTTAAAAATTTATTATCATTTTAATAACTATATTTTTTTTTTAATTTATTGTGTAGTACATAATATATAATATGATTTGATTGTAAAAAGTATTGCGAGCGAAGCGAGGATTTTTTTTTATATATAGTACAATATATAGGCCCTAGTTATATGAGGCCCCAATAAATATATCCCGGTAAAAAAAAAAGTACCTATCCGCCCATGATTCTAAATCTATTTGCTATCAATCCAAATGCATTTTCAACAACGTTTCTTGCACGTGCCAATCTATAATTGTAAATTCGTTTTTGGTAATCTAGTTTCTTTTGCGGGTATGGTTTTAAAATATGTTTCTCCAATGCGAAGGCTTCATCTGCAATAAATACAAAATTTAAACCTTCATCGCATTCACTGTTTGTTGGCAAATTTAAACTCCCATTTTGCAGTCTATTGTGAAATGAAGTTGCTTGAATAACTCCACCATCAGAGATTCTTCCCTGTTTGCCCACATCAGCATAAATAAATTCATAATTGTGATTAACGACAGCCATTAGTACTACACTGTAAAAGTTTTTATAGTTATAATAAAGAGCTCCAGATTTAGCTGGTTGAGTTATGTGTATATGTTTTCCATCAATGCATCCCCCACAGTTAATCATTTGCCAACGATCTTTGAATCCTTCAGCAACTTCTTTCCACTCTTTCTTTGTTTGTGGTGTCTGAAAAAATAAATAGAATTAACAGTAAATTTGTATCATAATAGTGCCTAAATTTGTTTTTTGTTGTTATTGTGACCAGTTAAACTATTGTTTTAGATTTTTAAAACACCAAAAGCGTATGTGAAAAAACTAAGAGACACAAACTAGATGATAATGTAAATACATTTATGCTAAAGTGTACTGAAGCACTAGACACAAACAACGAAATGAGTGAATATGATGCGATGGGTATTAGTTTTGCAGCAAAGATGAAAAAAATGAAACCGGAACAACAAATCTATGCTGAATTATTATGTCAAAAAGTGTGTGCTAAAGCTCTTTTACAGTAGTTAAATTCTGATTTTGATGTTGTTGATATGAAAAATTTAGATAAGTCCCATGAACTTTATTCATCCAGCCATGGCAATACCGATACTACAACAATTAACACTACCACACTTCAACACTTAACAACTACAGACGAACCTCCTCATTATTATACAAACTATGGACAGTTAAATAATCTGCAATCTGATTCTTCTTCATCAACTGAATCTTCGGTTCTGATTATTTCACAAATTTTCTTAGAGAAAGAAAATATACATAAGAAAAATTCCTGTTGTTGACTGTTAAGTTTATTTACATACCTACTGTTTATTATAATTATTTAGGTATAAAGTTAAATATTAGTTCTGTTATTTTTTTTTATACATAAGAAAATGTCATTCCTGTTGTTGACTGTTAAGTTTATTTACATACCTACTGTTTATTATAATTATGTAGGTATAAAGTTGAATATTAGTTCTGTTATTTTTTTTATACATAAGAAAATATGTCATTCCTGTTGTTGACTGTTAAGTTTATTTACATACCTACTGTTTATTATAATTATTTAGGTATAAAGTTAAATATTAGTTCTGTTATTTTTTTTTATACATAAGAAAATGTCATTCCTGTTGTTGACTGTTAAGTTTATTTACATACCTACTGTTTATTATAATTATGTAGGTATAAAGTTGAATATTAGTTCTGTTATTTTTTTTATACATAAGAAAATATGTCATTCCTGTTGTTGACTGTTAAGTTTATTTACATACCTACTGTTTATTATAATTAAATAGGTATAAAGTTGAATAATAGTTTTGTTATTTTTTTTATAATTGTTGTACCTAATTGAAAAATATTTTTTTTTACCTTCAGGTATTCTTTTTTCAGAACATCAAATATAACTTTACAGGTTTCTGGTATTATATAACCTAATGTTTGGGCTGCGATTCCTGTACTGAATTTTAAATCTTCATACGAACGTCCAGTGGCCAAAAATCTTAACGTTGCTATGAGTCGTTCTTCGGGTGGTATTGCTTGTCTCATTACTGTATCTTGTTTAGATATATGTGGCCGAAGTAAATCTTAAATAAAAATAAATCTTAATTAATAATAATTTGTAAGAGCATTGATTAAGTGGCATACAAATACATACAGGGGGGCAAAATACGAAAATCTCTGACTTGTTAAAATATAATGAAATCTGAATACAATAGTTAGTTTTTTTTTATTTAGTTAGAGTTTTAGACACTGGTTTAAACTTTTTGTTATAATCCAAAAAATTTCATCATAATAAATAATGTGCTCAAAATTTTAAATTTTAATATTAAGTCATATATATTGCCCCCCCCCCCTCAAATACGACACTGGATGTGACGTAGGTACGTGTAAATATCACTTACCTAATAAATTATTAAAATCTGATGCTGTCATTCTTAAATATTTTTTTAAATCGTTTGGTTCGTTGTCACTCAATTCACGGAGTAGTGACATATGACCAAATACATTTCTGTTGGCAATCCAATTCTTAACCCATTTTGATATATTTTTTCGTTTTAACATATAGTTATATACGGCAACTAGACCAGCTGCAGCAACAATCTTTTTTTTGTTCATACTTGTCCTATTTCTGGTATCCATTGTGACTTACAGGCACGTTATTTATTATTATTTTGTTTGAAAACTTCGTTTTAACTAAGTGAAAATCCGTGGTCTCTTAAGACTTGCTAAAAGATCAGTGGATCTAGTCCTACAGATCAAAACCTATGAAAACTACCAAAAATTACTCCATACATGAACGGACTAGGTCCTATTAAGGATCCTATCCGTTTTTATCAAAGGATCTTTATTTTCACGTTAGTGGGCACAACTAAGGACCTGGTCCGACGGACCAAATCCATCGAGGTCCTAAGGATTTGTTCCGTCAGACCAAATCCGTCAACAAATCCTATCGTGTATGGCAGGCGATTAGGATAATCCGGATATCCGAATCCAAATAATCAACGGATAAAATCCGAATTATCCGAATAATCCGGATATTTTAAACTTGTTGCTTAATTATAAAAACTTAAACATTTGTTATTTAATTTATAGGTATTAGACTGTGATTTATTTAAGACGGTAAAACTTAAAATTTAAAAATAATAGTTTGACTCAAAAATGTTAGTTAAGTTATATCATTTTGACATTTTATCATAATATGTAATTATTTATCGATAAGAATATTTAATTATCTCAAACATATTCGGCTTTAATACGATTTTGCAATATAAGTTTTATTTTATGTGGATATTAGTGTTAGATTATATTTTGATTAGATAAAATTATTTAAATTGCCGATTTTATTATCGCTTTAGTCGTAATGACATTTAATGTTAATTTTCGTTCAGTCCGTATTTTATTCGTCAACTATCAACATCATAAGACAATATTAATATCAATATCAATATTTGCTTATTATTATCAATATTTTATGTTATATTATTATCGTTTAAACAATAACTATGAATCGTAGTAACGTTTGGAAATATTTTAATCGCGGTGAAACAAATGAAACAGCGACGTGTAAAATATGTAGTCAAATTTAGAAAAATATGGGGTCTACTTCTTCTTTGTGGTATCACTACAAATCGTGGCATAATACTAATAATGGAATCGATGCAGTAAAATTAACTGAGGAGAGGTAAGCCATTATTAATTATTTTATGTTAAAAATAGGTAAGAAAACTATTATATAATATTCTTTTTTAAATTTCTAAATTTTGAACTTAAGTAGCGAAACAGAACAGATATCAACATCTTCAGATATGTCATCTTCGACATCAATACCAACATTAATATCATAACCACCCCAAAAACGTTTATTAACTACGGACGGCTGGACGTCTTTGGCTATAGATTCTTATATAACATTCATATGTCACTACTTTAATAAAAATTGGGAACTATGTACTCAAGTATTAGGGTTTGAAGAAATGCGAGAAAACCATACGGCAGATAATATACAAGATAGTTTAATTAATATTATTGAAACGTGGAATTTAACTGGTAAAGTCACAGGGATAAGTCACGATAATTCTGCAAATGTAACTAATGCTGTTCGAAACTTACAAGAACGTAATATTTATTCTAGTCCGTGTGCCGCTCATACACTGCAATTATCTATAAATAAAGGTCTTGATAATAGAATGTGTAGCCGTTTATTAAAATTAGCCTCGACATAGTTGCTGTTTTTAGGCACTCTTCAAAACGAACAAATGCTTTAGAAAACAAAATCAACGAATTAGGACAAAAAAAATTGTGCTTAATACAGAGATGTCCGACTAGATGGAATTCTAGTATGGATATGTTAATGCGTTTACTAGAACTTCGGCCATCTATTGTATCTATAATATTAGATCGTACATTATTCAACACAAAAACAGTAAAAAAATTAGAAATGCTCGAAGAAGACTGGGAGCACTATCAAATATTGGTGAAACTTTTAAAATCACTGCAATTAACTACGACAGTTGTATGTTATGAACGACAAGTTACAATATCAATGGTAATTATTTTGTATTCTATTTTTATTTTATGATGATAATAAATGCTTTATTAAATATAATAATTTAATAGGTAATAGTAAATTTATTTTAAATTTATATACACAATTAAATTATTAAATTATTTAGAATGATTATATTTTAATACTTTTAAAAAAATTATTATTAAGCTTTAAAAAATTCAACATTAACAAGCTCAAAATTATATATATGTTTCTCTAAATTTTCTCTAAAAAAAAAAAAACATTTCATTATAAAACCAATAATTTTTTTATATCACTAAGAATTTAATAAATATTAATAAAAAAAAACATATTTTTTAGATACGACCAATTGTTAAAAGTCTTATAGAAAAGCATTTAAAACTCGAGGATACAGACTCAAGACTTGCAATGGTGTTTAAAGAAACAGTGTGTAATGAACTACGTCAGAGGTTTAATATTGACTTTGAAGAAGAAAATGGAACTGCAGCAGACATTTATTCGGAATATAGGGAAGTAAACATAGCACAAATTGCAAGTCTATTATAGACCCAAGGTACAAGAATTTACAATTTGAATCATCAGATCGTATACGAGAAATTATTAAACAAAAAATGCGTTCAAAGATACAGTCAATTAGATGTATATCTGAAAATGAAAACACTTCAAATACTAAACAAAGTACTGTATTAGATGATTTATTGGGGATAGTTCCACTAAATTCTGAGGATGAATTTTCAAGGTACTTGGCTGAACCACAAATTAATCATAATGATGATCCGTGTTTGTGGTGGAAATCGCGTGAACTTACGTTTCCTTTTTTATCTGTTCTCGTGAAAAATATTCTTTGTATACCGGCTTCTTCGGCATCTTCAGAACGTGTTTTTTCTACTACTGGATCAATTCTATCCTCAAAGAGAAATAGAATGACCCCCTTTCATTTATCAGCCCTAGTATTTTTAAATAAAAATATTTGATTCCAAACTAAACAAATATAAAAACAACTATTTTCATTATTATAGTGTGTATCCCGTTTATACTTAAAATTGCATTAAATGTGCCTGTGCGTTAAATTTATTTATTAAAAAAAATATTATTATATTGTGTAGATATGTGTATATCGTATTACTTATTTATTATGTATTAATTATTTTTATAGTTGATTTTGCTATGATTATTATTTATTATAAATGTTAAAATTATTGTTATTATTTAAATATTTAATATTTGCTAAGACGTGATCTTTTTTCTATAATATGAAATATAATATTATAAACTACTACTAACTGCATCAACCGTCAACATATTTTTAAAACCTTCCTTTATAATAATGTAAAAATTTGAATTATTCGGATTATTCGGTTATTAAATTTTGGATTCGGATATTCGGATTATCCGAATATCCAAAAATCCGGATTTTTGACATCACTACTTTCGAGTGAAATTTGAAACTATAAAAAATATTCCAGCAAAGACTACAGCTTATTGTCTAATTTTACACAATCAAATTCTAACATATAATCCATTTAATAGGGATGTAAGAAAATTTTAATTTGATTTAATCACTGTAATTTAAATATATGTTATACATTAAAACATTATGTTTAATCTGCTCAAAAGGGAAGTAAACTTCAAAAATTATGAAATTTTTGCTAAAAAATTATTTATAATAAATAACTATCAAGAACATGAAAAGTGAAAAATAAAACGAAAATTACAAAATAGCGAAAATAAATCGAATGAAGTTACTTTAATTTTCCGAGAAAGTTTTACTATAAAGACATACTTTGTTATTCATCTTAATACATTCATCGATCCGCTTTGAATTAAAAATATGTTGTTCTTTGTTAAGATTAATTTTACACTTTTTTGGAGTAACAACAAAAAATAAAAAAATATCACTAATTTAATTTGATTACAAATTATACACATATTCAGGCTTGTTTTAGATAATATAGATAGAAAAAACAATTAATATAATAAATAATTATTATTCTTATAGATACTAATTTAATAATATTTTCAACAAACTTTATTTCTGATTATAAATACTGATATTTCAATAATTACATAAATATTTAAAACTAAAATGTTTATTTCTATGTTATAAGTAAAGACCGGATTTTGCATATAATGCATGTTCATATTTTTATAAGCAATTACATGCAGTAAATGGGTTTTCATCAATCATACTTAAATAAATAATATTAAAAATTTTTATTTTGCATATTTTTGCATATTTTGAGTACAAGTGCATATTTTATATAAAAACGCATGTTTTTGCATGTTACGTATACACTAGGTATACATTTAATTTAATCTAATTTAATTTTTAAATTAAATTTTATAATGGTATGTACAATTATTATGTATACATTTTTCCACAATACAACAATTGAAAATATTTTTAAAAATATAATATTTCGTTAAATAAGTATTCACTATTCAATGCATACTGGTTTTTGTATCGTATATTTTTATTTTATTGATTTTGTCTAACATTATCGTCAATACTACAGAACACGAACTTATAGCCAGATGACTATAGTTCGAAGCGTACATTCGGCAATAGTGTTGCTAATTTTAAAAGAAATTGCTAAAATACACCAAGGTGAGACTGTTGACTTGAAGAGTTCCTCTATCAAACATTTTTCCCCGAAAATGTTGTCGAGTTTAAGATATGTGCCCATAACAAGCGTTGATGTGGAACAAAGTTTTTCTGCATATAAACATATTCTCACAAACCGCCGTCATAATTTAACCGAGGTCAATATGGAATATACTATTATTTTTCCAATATCGAATACATTGTATATTTTTTCATTTTAATTTATTTTTATCATCATTATATAATATAATATTGTAGTTTAGGTATTTATTTTTTCAAAATTTATACTTTGATTTTGTAACTTTACAATAAATAAATAGCTGAATAATCAAAAATTATTTTACATGTTTTGCATTTTTATCTTGCATATTTTGACATTTAATAGTGCATGTTTGCATGCATATTTTACAATTTAAAATGCATATAAATCCGGTCTTTAGTTATAGGTAAGAAAATGGTTCAAACCGATTTTGTGTTTAACTTATATAATTATAGGGACACGTGAAT